CCCCGCCGCGGGCCCGGGCCCCCCGCCCCGGGGCGGCGACGGCGGTGCCGGGCCCCGGGGCGGAGGGCGCGCCGGGATGGGCCCCAAGCGGCGGCAGCTGACGTTCCGGGAGAAGTCGCGGATCATCCAGGAGGTGGAGGAGAACCCGGACCTACGCAAGGGCGAGATCGCGCGGCGCTTCAACATCCCGCCGTCCACGCTGAGCACCATCCTGAAGAACAAGCGCGCCATCCTGGCGTCGGAGCGCAAGTACGGAGTGGCCTCCACCTGCCGCAAGACCAACAAGCTGTCCCCGTACGACAAGCTGGAGGGGCTTCTCATCGCTTGGTTCCAGCAGATCCGCGCCGCCGGGCTGCCAGTCAAAGGCATCATCCTGAAAGAGAAGGCGCTGCGGATAGCGGAGGAGCTGGGCATGGACGACTTCACTGCTTCCAACGGCTGGCTGGATCGCTTCCGCAGGCGCCACGGTGTAGTGGCCTGCAGCGGCGTGACCCGTTCCCGGGCGCGAAGCTCTGCCTCTCGGGCCCCAGCGGCACCTGCCGGTCCAGCCACGGTGCCCTCCGAGGGCAGCGGTGGGAGCACACCCGGCTGGCGCACGCGGGAGGAGCAGCCGCCGTCGGTGGCAGAGGGCTATGCCTCGCAGGACGTGTTCAGCGCCACCGAGACCAGCCTGTGGTACGACTTTCTGTCGGACCAGGCCTCAGGGCTCTGGGGAGGTGATGGACCGGCGCGCCAGGCCACCCAGCGCCTTAGCGTTTTGCTGTGCGCCAACGCTGATGGCAGCGAGAAGCTTCCCCCACTGGTCGCAGGCAAGTCTGCCAAGCCCCGTGCAGGCCAAGGTGGTCTGCCCTGCGACTACACTGCCAACTCCAAGGGTGGAGTTACTACCCAGGCCTTGGCTAAGTACTTGAAAGCTCTGGACACTCGAATGGCTGCAGAATCTCGTCGGGTCCTTCTGCTGGCCGGCCGTCTGGCTGCCCAGTCCTTGGACACCTCGGGCCTGCGACATGTGCAGCTGGCCTTCTTCCCTCCCGGCACTGTGCATCCCTTGGAGCGAGGAGTGGTCCAGCAGGTGAAGGGCCACTACCGCCAGGCTATGCTGCTTAAGGCCATGGCAGCCCTCGAGGGCCAGGATCCCTCAGGCTTGCAACTGGGCCTAGTGGAGGCCCTACACTTTGTGGCTGCGGCCTGGCAGGCAGTGGAGCCCTCAGATATAGCAACTTGCTTTCGTGAGGCTGGTTTTGGAGGTGGCCTTAATGCCACTATCACCACTTCCTTCAAGAGTGAGGGAGAGGAAGAGGAGGAGGAGGAGGAAGAAGAGGAGGAAGAGGAAGAAGAAGAGGGTGAAGGGGAAGAGGAGGAGGAAGAGGAAGAAGGGGAGGAGGAAGAAGGAGGGGAAGGTGAGGAGGTAGGAGAGGAGGAGGAGGTAGAAGAGGAGGGTGAGGTTGATGATAGTGATGAAGAGGAGGAAGAAGAAAGCTCCTCTGAGGGTTTAGAGGCTGAAGACTGGGCCCAGGGAGTAGTGGAGGCCAGTGGTGGTTTTGGGGGTTATAGTGTCCAGGAAGAGGCCCAATGCCCCACCCTCCATTTCCTGGAAGGAGGAGAGGACTCTGACTCAGACAGTGATGAAGAGGAGGAAGATGAAGAGGAGGATGAGGAAGATGAAGAAGATGAGGATGATGAGGAGGATGGCGATGAGGTCCCTGTACCCAGCTTTGGGGAGGCCATGGCTTACTTTGCCATGGTCAAGAGGTACCTGACCTCCTTTCCCATTGATGACCGAGTACAGAGTCACATCCTTCATTTGGAACATGATCTGGTCCATGTGACTAGGAAGAACCATGCCAGGCAGGCAGGAGTTCGGGGTCTTGGACATCAAAGCTGAGCTACTGGACATAGCTGTACCCCAGCCCAGATGGGCAGCACCTGCCCAAGGCAGAGAACTCTGGGCAGCTGCTGGAGATGGCTGGAGAAGCCCAGGGCTTTTAGTAATGCTTCACCAGACTCCAGGCTCCAAGACAGGCCCAGGGGCTGATGTCTGCCTCACTGCTATTGCCTCTCTTTCAGAATCCTCTTTCCTCCCCATTAGTCCCTGGGCTCAGGGCACTGGATGGGTGGGGAGCTGTCCGGTGCTACCACACCATGCCATCAGTGGGCTAGACCACAGCAGCAGCCAGGGTTGGGTCCTGGAAGCTCTTGGCCAGAGAGTGCCTCTCCCCCTGCCACCCAACCAGGTCTTTGGTGGGGGGATCCCAAAGCCATTCTGGAAAGGGCTCCAGAGGAAGGTCTAGCCTAGGCCCCTACAAAACTAGCAGCCCCCCTCCTGCATCTCTAGGCTGCCTAAAGAAGCACAGTGTAACTTAGGGCAGGCTCCTGAACCTGCCTCTGTCTGCTTTCCACCTCCCCAAATCCCTTTCTCTGGCCCAGTCTTTGGCCCTTGGTTTTCTTTCCAGATTGGAGGTTTCCAAGAGGCCCTCCAGGGGAGTAACAGCCGGCACCTCCAATCTGGGTAGCTGCAGGCCTTTGTGCCTCATCCTCTGCAGGCCCCCATCCTGGGCAGAGGGGCCTGGAGTTGGGCCCAGAGTCCAGCCATCCAGGTGCACCTTTCCCAGCTTGAATTCAATAAATCTGTCCACTCCCCTTTTGTGGGAGTGAATGTTTTAACAGCCAAGGATGCATCCTTCATGGTCTGGGCTTGCGTCTATCTTGGGGGACACATCCTTTCCAGATTCCCCTTGGTTTTTGCTGTAGCGGGACATGGAAGCAAGGTTTGAGCAGATGGACATGGCTGGGGTGAGTGGCGGGCAGTGACACCCACATCTGACTGTTACAGAATACTGGGGAAGGAGGGTGTTACATCTTTTGATAGACTTGAGGAACCTTAGCATTAAAGTTTGTTAGTGAGAAGCTCCGGGTGGGGCAGGCGATAGGGAGCCAGCAGTCTCTTGGGCCAGATCAGTCAATATGCACCTATGGTGGATGAAGCCCACCAAAGCTAGTTAAAGTCAGGAATGAGAACAACTTTGGGATGGATATGAGCCAGGTTGGAGTTGGAGGTGCATACAAGGCACCCCTGTTTTATCTTAAGAGGGAGTTCTTCAGGCCTTTCAAGTGATTGACCTTTTCAAGCCTGTTAGCCACAGCACAGTGACAGAGGTGAAGTTTCTGGGAAACAGATTGCAGCCCCAGGAGTTGGTAGCTCACTGTGCAGGCTACTCTCTCGACTCTAGTCCAAAGGTGAAGGCGTGCCTGTCTCTCAGTGCCCAGCACCTCCCTTCATGGCTTTTCCTTACTGAGGCCTTCAGGTTCTAGCCAAGGAAAAGCCTGATCAGGCTAGGTAACTCAGTACCAAACCGGTTTTCCCACCCCGACTAGGGCTGGCATATTATCTCTGGTAAATTCCCAATCCCAACATACCCCAGCCATGAAGTTCTCCCTACCCTGGAATGTAAGGGGTGGGGTACATCCAAGTCACCCTTTGTGCCTTATTTGCCTTAGGGTGTGGGCCAGAAAGTCTGGCCAGAAAGGGTGGAGTCTTTTGTATTTCTTACACTAGGGGATTGCCTCCCTTGAAAATTAGTTAGTTTTTTTTTTTAAGGCAGTTTTTTTTTTTTTTTTTTGTATCAAGGTAGGGAGGAACTAGGGCCTTTAGCAACCTAGGCAACTGTCTCACTGCTGAGCCACACATCCCCTTGAAAGTTTTGAAACAAAGTCAACAAAGTCAAGCAAAGGGGTTGGGATTCCATTTGACATCACCCCTTCCTCTAATTGGAAGTCTGGAGGAGAGGACCAGAAAATCTAGTCTACCCAGTGGGCTTGCTCTGGAGTAAGTGGATGCCCTGGCTAATCTAGCTCCTTTATCTCAAGTACCAAGCCAAATCTCTGATCTGTCTCCTTCCAACAAGAATCTCTTTTATTGGACTCCATGAGTTAACACAAGCTGATGCTAATACGGCTGTTTTGTTTTTTTTTTGTTTGTGTGTGTGCTAGGTGTCAAACATTCAGGTGCCCTTATGAGGTAACAAAAGCCATGACAAACAAGAGTCAGAGAGGTTCAGTAATGTGCCCAGAGCCACACACATTAGCCTATTGGAAGCAAACTGTCTCCTCAGGCAGGCTCTTGAAATATCCCTTTAGTACTTTGTATTCCTTCCCTAAGGAGGGACCTGTGTTCCTAACCCTCCTGGTTGCAGAAATCAATTCCCAATCCAGACTATCCTTTAAAGGGAGACAAGGGCCCTGGCAGTGTCTGTAGAAGCTCTTGCTTTCAGTGTACAGCTGACTTGCAATCCCCCAAACCCATACTAATTCAAGGTACTTACACTTTTTTAATTCCTATTTTGTAAATTACTTTCCAAGTGAATCTTTGGGACAAGTAGATGAAAACTGTTTGCATTTTTACAAAGGAAATAGAGTTAAGGAATTAAATGACCTTCCCTAAGAAAACAGCCTTGATCAGCTCTCCCTGGGAGTCTGGGTTACATATTAAAAGCTCCAGTAGAACACATTGCTGGGATGGGAAAATGGCAATGACCCTAGGCTGACAGCTTAGCGGGAGGGAGCTAGTGAGGAAGCACTATTAAACAGCTTATCGAGCAGGAGAGATGGTTTAGTTGTTAAGAGTACTGCCTGTGCTTCCAGAGGATCCAGGTTAGGATCCAGGTTTGGTTCTTAGTGCCCACATGATGGCTCACAACCATCTGTAAAATCAGTTCCAGGGGGATCGAACACCTGTCCTTGGTGTATACCAGGCACACACATGGTACACATATAAATACAGATAAAACACCCATACACACACACAAAAATTCAAAATAGACAACTTATCACACAATCTCCATATGTATCAGATTAGCAGAACTCTGTGTTGCCTACCTCCCACCTCAACGGTGACTTGTGTGGTGATGCTGCCATGCTGCTTCCTTTAGAGCTGATAGATCATGCAGAAAGGGGTTTTGGGGAACATATTAGATTTTCGCAAAGCCCAGAATGGGTCAGTGATTGTTCAGCAGGTGGTGTGGGCAGACAGGTGATGCCTTCTTAGGGAGAAAAGAAGATGTAAGTACAGCTAACTGCCCTTTCAAAACTTGGGCCCAGGGGAAGGTAACATGGAAAAACTACAACTCCCAGAAGTCTCTGTTTCCAGGCAAGTAGCGACGGTTGCTATGGTTTCGGAAAACAATATGGCTGCTCCCAGATGGGATTTGAGTCTGTGCGGAATAGGGACTCAAACGTATATCTGAACGCTCGCAGTTGCGAGAGGAGGCATTTGAAGGGGCCTGGGGCTAGTGCTGGGCTCTGTCGGGAACATTGAGGCCTTGCTCTGGATCAAATGGAAAGCAGCGTGGATGAGGAGGCTCTGCACCAGCTGTACCTCTGGGTAGACAACATCCCTCTGTCCCGACCCAAGAGAAACCTCTCCCGGGACTTCAGTGACGGAGGTGTGTCTTGTTGTGTGTTTTAAGATGTTATCTTTATGTATGTTTAATGGATTTGTGTATATGCTATTGTTTTTGATGTGTGTATATATAGAGTGAGGCGGGGTGGGATCTGTATTTTGGGAATTTGTGGAAGTGTGCAGTTGCATGTTTCCTCTATTCTTGTATGAACAATGTATGTCCATTCTATCTTGTGTGCATGGAGTGTGTCTGTGTGTCTCCCTTCAGGGGCTTTAAGAACTAAGCTGTGTGTCTGGGTATGTATTTGTGAACCTATGCTCACTCACATTGCTGTGTTCTGCAGTTTGTCTTGTGGTCTTCGTTGTTGTTTTGTGAGATAGTCTTGAACTCCTGACTCTCCACCTCTACTACATTCCTACATTTGCCTCCAAAGTTCTGAGATTATAGGCATTGTGCCACTACTTCTGTTGTTTGTTTTTAGTGTGGTGCTAGGGAGTCAAACCCAGGGTATTGTGAATGCTAAGTAAGCTTGCTACCAACTGGGCTAAATCCATAGCCAGTATTCTTTTGTATTGATGTTCTGTCCTGCATGCATATGAATTTTTTGATGGTTGTGTGTTTTTCAGGAAAGGCTCCTGTATTTAAGAAATGCTTAGTTCTGTAGACAGAATGCGCTTCATTTCTATGTGTATAATTGAGGAAGCTATGTGTCTATGTGACTTCTGTGTGTGTGTGTGTTCTATGTGTGCACTATGTGTACTTGGAATTTATTTGTTGTGTGCATCTATACATTCTGCCCTACGTGTATCTGTAGATGGACATTTTTGAGACACATAGTTGCTGTGTAGTCCAGAACTCACTATTTTCCTGCATCCTGTGTGATGGGATTGCAGGCATGAGCTTCCATGCTGCTTCTTAAATGGTCCTGGGGATTGAGTGCAGTGCTTTGTACATGCTATTTGAGCATGCTACCAACTAAGCTATACCTCCATTCCTGTAGAAGGATGTCTTTCTGCTTGTGTTAATCTGTGATTCCTTTGAGATGTGTGTGTGTGTGTGTGTGTGTGTGTGTGCATGTGAATTCCCAGGATAAGGCTGCAGGCTCCTGTAGGGCCCTCTTGGAGACTCTCCATTTTTTGTGATCTGAGATTGAGGAATATGCTGAGAAATGGGGGATCTTGAACTGATCATTGATCTGGCTTTCTTTGTCTCCTTTCTGTGAACCTTCTCTTTTCTGTGTCTCTACCCTTTCTTCCTTGACCCCATGCTCCTTTCCTATCTGTACCCAACCCTATTCCCTCAGTCCTGGTTGCAGAGCTTATCAAGTTTTACTTCCCCAAGATGGTGGAGATGCACAATTATGTCCCTGCCAACTCTCTCCAGCAGAAGCTCAGCAACTGGGGTCACCTGAACAGGTAGTAGAATCCCTGGGTGCAGAAGTGACTTTGGCTGGGATGTGGCTTGGTAGTAGAATATTTGCCTAATGCCCCCACAACGTGCATGTGTGCGCACACATACACACACACACACACACACACACATCCCTGGGTTGGTCCCTAGCAATACAAAATGGGGGGGCAGGGGGAGCAAAACGACGACGGCAACAACAACAACAACAACACCTCCTATGATCTTGACAGGCAGCCTGGGACTGCTGGGGCGGGGGAGGAGAAACAGAAGAATCCATTTAGAAACAAAATCAAGTAATTATTTTATCTGGATAGTAGCAAAGAACTTGGAACACTCAAGCAGAGAGCTTCAGATATCTGCCCTTCCTCTGCTACTCTGTCCACTTCGTTCCCCATTTCCCCAGTACCCAATCCACCTATCTCATATTCACTCCCTAGAAAGGTGCTGAACAAGCTGAACTTCTCTGTCCCGGACGATGTGATGCGGAAGATTGCACAGTGTTCTCCGGGGGTAGTGGAGCTAGTGCTCATTCCACTGAGGCAGCGCCTGGAGGAGCGGCAGAGGCGCCAGAAGCTGGGTGTTGGCTCCTTACAGGTGGGGCTGTTGAACTTGGTGATTGGGATGCAGCAGTGGGATGGGGTACGGGGAGGGGTGCTCCCCAGACGTTGGAGGGCCCTGCTGTGGTGATAAATAGGAAGACAGGGTGCCTATCTAAAAGAACATGGCCTATGGGGTTGTGGAAAGGAAACGGGGTTTCTTAGAGATAGATGAACCCAGGCTCACAGGAGACCACATGTGTTCTTTCAGGAGCTGGCTCCTCAGGATAGCAGCGGCTACATGGATATGGGTAAGATGATGTTCCCCTTATCTCAGGAACAGCTTCCCCCAGACCCCTTTAATCAATTTTTGAGTCACTCCAGGACTCCAGCAAGGTCACTCCTCCACTTGCTTTGTCTTAGGTTTGTCCCAGAAGGTTCGAGGAGACGGTGCCCCAGCCTTGGGAGAGCAGCTCAGGTAAAGCTGAGAGTTCTACCTCACCAGGCTTGGTAACTTCCCCACAGAGTAGGTAGCAGCGCCTTGGGGACTGGGGGCTTCGGTGGGGAAAAGGCGAAGAGGGAAGGCCTGGCCACGGGTACTAGAAGGGAAAGGTGGGGTCTTACGTCCAAGCCCCTGCTAAGTTGCTACCCAACTGCAGAGAGGGCCGTCCGCTGGCTTCCCGACCCCCTGGGTATAACCAGGCGCTGCAGGGCGATCCGAGCTTCGTCCTCCAGATCGCTGAAAAGGAGCAGGAGCTGTTGGCCTCTCAAGAGACAGTACAGGTAGGTGAGGAGGAGACACTGAGGCCTAAAGGGGCAGCGTGGAGCCTGCAGGGGCAAAACACTAGCGGGGCAACACGCCTTCAGGCTTCATGTCTCTGCGTCGCCACCCAGGTCCTTCAGATGAAGGTGAAGCGTCTGGAACACCTGCTCCAACTCAAGAACGTGCGCATCGATGACCTTTCCCGGCGGCTCCAGCAGGCCGAGCGCAAGCAGCGGTGAGCGGTGCCAGGGCTGCGCGGGGCTTCCCAGTACCCGCCAGAGCCCAGACGCCGCGACCCACCCACTCACCTGCGGATGCAGGGGTGGGAGGGCGGAGCGAGCTGCTCTCTAGCGCCTCCTGCAGCTGCCGCGCTCGGCTGCGGAGGGCTCGGGCGAACGTGGGGGTGCTCAAAGCTGAGGCCGAGGACTGATCCTCCTCCTTACACTCCATCTGGGCCAGGAAAAAGGACCACTTTCCACAGCCCAGAAAACCTGTACGAACACACCGCATGACCTCCCAAATCGTGTCCACTTTGAAGCTCCCGGCACTGGGCCTGGAGAGGCAGTCCTCTGGCTCGGTCCACTGCCCTAGAACCGGTTCCTTTCTCAGCATAGACGATAGCTTCATCTCTATCCATGCTAAATCTCCATGGCCTTCGACACGAGAGAAACTATCCCCGGAAGCTGAGGAATTCTCTTGCCCCTCCTGGATGCTGACCTGGGATCCTTCTCAGGGCTGGAAGTCACAGCAGCTGGAGAGGAAGGGATAAGGTGTTGAAGTAGTCAAAAGTAAGGGAGGCATCCAGTTGTGCAATCGCTCTCCTCTCATGGAGCATTATAAGGAGTGCCTGGGGAAAACAGGGCAGAGTTGTCTCCATTAAAGGTGGTGTTGTGCATTCTTTCCTGTGCCTGCCTTCTCTTTCTGCCTGTATGGATCCCCAAGGGCAGTGAGTTTCTGACTTATCCTTTATCCCTTTCACCTAGCTGTCCTCTTAAAGACCCAGGATGGGCCTCATATTATGGTTCCCACTGCTTATTACATTGATGATACTGCCAGTGGGAAGATCTTGTGGTGTGATAGCCTGCTTCTAGCACTGGGTGACCCCCCCCCCCGACTCCCTCCAGTGTCCTCCAGCCTTGTCCAAATCCAAGCTGCAATTTTCACCAATTGTGGCTATTCATGTTCTCAACCTTGCCCCTGGACTCTCTTAAATTAGCTTCCTGTATAACTCTTAACCCTGTCCACACACTGGTCTCAATTTATGGATGGTTGGCTTACATGTCACTTGAAACCCTAACCAAGACACCTGACCATGGTATGGCCCTCATTGTGATGATTTGCTGACTGACAAAAATGTTGAACATATGAAAATCCCAAGGCCCGACAATTCCATTCATAGGCTTACTGCATGGGAGGAACTCTTGTGTCCTGAGTTCTGGGAGACACACCGCAATAATCATACAGAATTGAAGCAATGGGCTGGAGAGATGGCTTAGCCATTAAGAGTATTTGCTGTCCTTACAGAGGAGCCAGGTTCCATTCCCAGCACCCACCCGGCAGCTCACAACTGCTGATCACCCCAATTCCAGGGACTCAAACATCCTCTTCTGACCTCCATGGACTCCGGGCCCACATGTGGTACACAGAGATATAGGAGCTTAAAATAACTCTAAAAACTTTAAAAAATGAATTAAAAGAACTTGTATTTGGTTATCTATTACTGTAACAAAATACCACCAATGTAAAGGCTTAAAACAACACGTTGTTGTTGTCTTGTGGGTTTTTTTGTTTGTGTTTGTTTTTGTTTTTGTTTTTGTTTTTGTTTTGGGTCAAGTCTGAGCATAGCTCAGCTGGATTGTAGATTTCCCTGATCCAGGATGTTTACAAGGCTAAGGCCAACGTACCAGCTGGAACTGTGACAACTGGAGAAGGAGGCACAATGTTGTTAACAAGCCAGTCCCTCGTGGGTTGCTGGGCTTTAGTGTTTTGATGATTGTTGGCTTTTGACTGCTCTGATTTCCTTCACCTATGGCCATTTCCAGTGGAGTGGCTTTAGCGACAATTTTGCCATTTTAGATTCTTTGAAAAAAACATAGAAATATTGTAAGAATGTTTTCATTTTATTCCCAGGTGTAGGATATGGGGCTGTTTCAAACTGTCCACAGAAGCTGACTATGATTTGCTTCTTGCTTTAGCTGGGGCATGATTTTACCAGTGTTGGATAGTTTCTGCAATTGTGTAACATTTGGAATTCTGGGGACTTCTTAGAGAATGTATAAATGCTAAGGTCTGAGAAGCACTGTGGGTTGTTGGTTGCTTGCTGCTGCCTGCCGTTGGTTGCAGTTTGTTAAGTAGTTGTACACAAAGAAGAAGAAAGAAGAAATTAGATATCCTGATGGCAAAGATCAAACTTGCCCCAAGGAACTCAACGTCTAGTCAGCAGGAAGTAGACTAAGGATAACATCACCCCCTTCCCCTCTATCCTTTTTTTTTTCTCCTAATTAGTAGGAGATTGAAAAGGTGGAAGAAAGAAGAACACACAAAACAGCCTAAGTCCAGATACAGTAGCTAACTTTAAAATTGTTAATTTGCATCTTAAATTTATGTGTGTGTGCATATGCATGCTACAGTTTGTGTGTGTGTGTGTGTGTGTGAGAGAGAGAGAGAGAGAGAGAGAGAGAGAGAGAGGAGAGGGAGAGAGGGAGAGAGAGAGAG